TCAAAGGAGTTTTGTCAAACGGGTTTGCCAAGAAATAAAACCTAACAAAAACAAAAACAAAAAAATAAAATGATATCTATTATAATTAAACATTGACGACATTTTTCCATCTTTTTTTTTTTTTGGGTTCAATTTTCTATAATAAACAAATAAGAGACTAAATATATTTAAATTAATTATTTTAATAATTTAATAGATTCAATCAATATGCTTTCCTTGGTTTATGCCTTCACTAAATATGCCTTCACAGGTAAGCAACGCTAATCAGGATTTGTTTGGTAAGAAGAATTAAATGACATGAAATCACCCTAAACTCCGAGATTAATGCCATATGCACTAATTAGTGCACTAACTAGTGCACCAATTGATAATGTGACATAATTTAAGATATTTTTGGTATTTGTAATTTGTATAATGAGTGGGGTCAATAATAATGTCATAACTAGTATTGATACACTAGTTAGTACACTAATTAATGCATATAGCACCACTCAAACCCCAACCCCACACCCAAAAAAAACCGCGTTAAAATTTTAAACGAATCAAATACAAATTTACTTTTTTTTTTTGGAAACAAAACTCAAAAAAAAAAATGATAGTATCTATAATAATTAAACATTGATGACACTCTTCCATCATTTCTCTTCTTCATTTTTTTCCCAGTTTTGTATAGTAAACATATAAGAGACTAAATATGTTTGAATTAAATATTTTAATAACTTAATAGATTCAATCGATAATTTAGGAACTAAATAGATTTTGATTTATATATTTTAGGAATTGAGCAGATTCCATTGATAGTTTAAGGACTAAATAAATAATTTGACGATAATTTAAGAGTAAAACATGTAATAAACCCGCAAAACACCCAAGAGAAGAAGCATATACTGTGTAATGCTTATTGGAGCTAACTCTACCATAAGAGGCAAAATGGACATGTTAGGCATTTTTGCTAGTAAATAGGCATTCTCTTAGAAGTGATAATTTGTCTATTTTTATGTTTAACACTTCATATGTAGTTAACGTCCAATGCTACGTAAAAAATGCCTTCCTGCCGTTGTGTAATGCTTACTGGAGTCTTAATCCCATTAGAGCAACTCTACCATAATAGGCAAAATGGATATATTAAGCTGCACAAGCTTAGAAGCTAAACTTTGGGGGCTATACAGAGGTCTAACAATCATCATGCAAAAAAGAATGGCCAACATAGAAATAGAGACAGATTCCTAGCTAGCAATGAAGCTAATCCAAGATGGAGCTGAAAGTTCATCCCCATACTGAGCACTGATTGAAGATGCAAATTTTATGCTGAGAAGATGCAACTGCAGCATTCAATATATTCCAAAAGAAGCAAACCAATGTGCAGATGCACTTGCCAACATTGGAGTCAACCAAACAGAGCACCTGGTTTTCTTAGATGACCCACCAAGCTCTATCTTTTCCTTTCTAATTGCGAACATGGCTTTTGTATAGCGATCCCAGGTTTTACCCTTGTTGAACAGTGATCCGGACATTGTCCGTGGATGTTAGTTGTTGCTTATTATCTTGTTTGCATCCTCTTTACTTCATATTTGAGTTATAGGATGTGTTGGGCGGGTTTGTTACAGGTTGGTTGAGTTTAGAAACCAAAACTAGTTGCCCAGATTTTGGCCTGTACGCTCGAGCGGGGGTTTTGGCGCTCGAGCGGAGATTACACCCATTCAGTATTTTCCTACGCAGCGTTGTACGCTCGAGCGTGGGATTGGCCGCTCGAGCGGGGTTGTCTGAGTGCCGCTCGAGCGTAGAGTTGGAAGCTCAAGCGGAGGCCTGGTTCTGCAAAAGTGCTGGGAGAGTGCATCCGGCGCTCGAGCGGAAGTTTGGACGCTCGAGCGGGAGTCTGTGAGTGACGCTCGAGCGGGGTGTTTTACGCTCGAGCGTGAGACTGGGTTTAAGTCCCGAAATTTGTGACTTTTCAAATCACTTTTTACTTTCTCTTCTCTCTCCTACTTTTCCAAAATCACCATTGTTGAGCCTCTCACTCTAGACTCTACCTTCTCTCTAGGTTTTGATCTAGTAGGAGTGATTTGCTCACCTTTGGCCTTTACAAAAAAGTTGTTGATCGTCGAGGGCTTCATTTTAATCTGAAAATCTCGGGTTTTGGAGCACGTTGGGTTTTGTCGTCTTCTCCTTTGGGGCTCCGAAATTGAGGTAGGGATATCCTACTCCTCTCTATGGATTTTGTCTTTAAATTTTGTAATTTGTATAATGAGTGGGGTCAATAATAATGTCATAACTAGTATTGATACACTAGTTAGTACACTAATTAATGCATATAGCACCACTCAAACCCCAACCCCACACCCAAAAAAAACCGCGTTAAAATTTTAAACGAATCAAATACAAATTTACTTTTTTTTTTTGGAAACAAAACTCAAAAAAAAAAATGATAGTATCTATAATAATTAAACATTGATGACACTCTTCCATCATTTCTCTTCTTCATTTTTTTCCCAGTTTTGTATAGTAAACATATAAGAGACTAAATATGTTTGAATTAAATATTTTAATAACTTAATAGATTCAATCGATAATTTAGGAAATAAATAGATTTTGATTTATATATTTTAAGAATTGAGCAGATTCCATCAATAGTTTAAGAACTAAATAAATAATTTGATGATAATTTAAGAGCAAAAAATGTAATAAACCAGCAAAACACCCAAGAGAAGGAGCATGTAGTGTGCAACGCTTATTGGAGCCTTAATCCCATTAGAGAAACTCTACCATAAGAGGCAAAATGGACATATTAGGCATTTTTGCTAGTAAATAGACTTTATATTGGAAGTGATAATTTGTCTATTTTTATGTTTAACACTTCATATGTAGTTAACGTCCAATACTAGGTAAAAAATGCTTTCCTGCCATTGTGTAATGCTTATTGGAGTCTTAATCCCATTAGAGCAACTCTACCATAATAGGCAAAATGGATATATTAAGCTGCACAAGCTTAGAAGCTAAACTTTGGGGGCTATACAGAGGTCTAACAATCATCATGCAAAAAAGAATGGCCAACATAGAAATAGAGACAGATTCCTAGCTAGCAATGAAGCTAATCCAAGATGGAGCTGAAAGTTCATCCCCATACTGAGCACTGATTGAAGATGCAAATTTTATGCTGAGAAGATGCAACTGCAGCATTCAATATATTCCAAAAGAAGCAAACCAATGTGCAGATGCACTTGCCAACATTGGAGTCAACCAAACAGAGCACCTGGTTTTCTTAGATGACCCACCAAGCTCTATCTTTTCCTTTCTAATTGCGGACATGGCTTTTGCTAGCTTAAGGAGGGTCTGATTCCCCCTGTTTGCTTGTTTGTTTGTACTAAAACTCGAAACTTTGTTCTCATTTCATTTGAATCAAAGAAAAAAAAAAAAAGACATATTAAGCATTTTTGCTAGTAAATAGACTTTCTATCGAAGTGATGATTTGTGTGTTTTTATTTCAACACTTCATATGTTGTTAATGTCTAATGCTAAGTAAAAATGTCCCCTTGCCATTGTGTGTTGCTTGCTTCATCTCTGTTTCTAATATGTTCCAACCCATTAATCTTTGTTTATTTTATATATTTTATAAATGGAGATTGACAGTCTTACGTGATAAGAAATTTTTACAATGGCCCCTCAAGTTTTATCCAAAGTTACTCATTTAAAAAAAAAAATGTTATTGTTGCGTAAATGTCATATCAAAGTGCTTACGTGACATGCTACTAAAAAGATAGAATGTTGTTAGAATAAATGCTAGATAAAGTGATTAGGCAAAACACAAAGTCTACCTATTTTACGTGCTTTAGGAGCATGATGTAAAATTGATTAAACAACTGTTTGGTGGCATTTTATTGATTTATATAATTTACATAAATTATAAGTCCACTTTTATGACATTTATATTATAAAAAAGAAACCACAAAAAACAGAACAAAATGTTGTCTGTGTATATAAAATTAATGCCACTTGTTTACCATAAAAATAAAATTAAAGCCAATAAAGTTAGGCTTATTATGTAATATGTAAATGATTTGGGTAACCTTCCCATTTCTTTTGATGACTAATTATTCCATTTGAAATTGAATGCAAAGCATAGTTTTAAGGTAAATGTTAAGCAGTATGATTGAGACATTGTTGAGTATCAGAATTGAACTAAGAATTATGTTGAAAATAGGTGCAAAAGTTAAAATGTGCTTTAATTAAAATAAATAAATAAATATCAAATTCAACAAAGTTATTTTAAATTTAATAAAATACGTATAATATTCTATTAAATTTTACTTCTTTTTTTTTGCATTTTCTTTTGAATTCAATAAGAGGCTTGATAAAAACAACCTTGTTTTATTTTAATTGTACACTAGTACAAATTAAACAACTCAAATAACCTGCATCAAACTACCTCTATAAACCATACCCGCATAGAGTTGTCCAATTAGCGAGAAAGAATGGAAATTCGGTGATCAAGAATAATATTATTGGGAATAAAATTCACATGTCAACATTATTCAACTATTTGATTTATTTAAAATTCTTTATGAAAAAAAGTAATACAATTTTAACTATTTAAAACCCATTTACCGTTTTAATTCTTAAATAGTTCATATCCTTCAGTAATATGAAATTCTCATAAGCTGATGTGGCAATTTTTCGAAACTTTTCAAACACCATAGCTTAATTACTTGTCAACACATATCAGCCACTATTAATTCTAGGTACCAAGAAAACTTGATCAGAATTTTACCACAAAACTAAAATGTGTTGGACAACAATCTTAAGACAGATTCCTTTTTGGGTAAAATAAAATCTGTTTTATTTTTATTTATTTATTTTTATTTCGAGTTTGATTTTTGTAATCAAACATATTCTCTCCTTTTCTTTATTTCTTTAAATTCTAATTGTTGTTGTGTACACAATAGAATTAAATCTTTTAAATACAGTGAAGGTTGTCCAACAAAATGTATGGTTTAGATTTAAAATTAGTATTCTGCAAGTCATATACAGAATAAATCTTGTCTACATATTTCAAATCGAGACAATAATAATGAATAATTTTTCGAGGTCCGTATAGCCAGCCACATGACACAAGTAGAAAACATACAATCCTAAACCTCAATCAAATGGTTATCAATGTACTTGTACATTACATATGCCTTCTAAGTTACCAAAATGGTCTGCCTTTTAAAATAAATCCAAGTTTTTAGGGGGTTAAATGACACTAATCATGTCCCTTGCCGGTGCTAACTATTTTACAACAATCCATCCATTCTCATTCCCACACATGATCTGGGTTGGGCAATATTTCAAAAGCTGATCTAGACGGTGAAAAACTGTTGAATTAGATAAAACAGCGTTAAATGCTCAAAAACCAAGTAATCCACTTGCAAGGCAGATCAGGAGTGTCTTTTTTAGGACTCAAGGTTATTCTTTCAGCATTAATAACAGCCCACTTGCTGAAATCAGGAGATGAAACAAGTTCCTCAAGTGCTTTCTTGGTGGAGTCCTTGGTGAATTTTTCCCATACATCCTTTGAGAATTTTTTTCGTTCAGGGGTCTTATGGAAGCTAGAATAGTGAGTCTCTGAATCTGACAGTTGACTTGGGGGTGTCCTGATTAGGCCTGAGGGATTCATAGCAAATGTGAAAGTAAACCAAACAAATTCTTGAACTCAGAAGACGAATCACAGACAAAAAGCGTACCTTGGATGGGACTATTGGAAGGAGCCTTTGTGAAGTGTCTGGATCTTGGCTTCAGGAAGCCACAGTTGTTAGGCTTCCAAATATTGTGTACATATTCATCATAAGAATCTTTCGAAGGTGATGAACCTGGAATCTGATATCTATGACCGTGCTTGATTGTTCTGAGTAAATTCCTACACACAGTAATCCAAAAATTTCTTCTGATCTCACAACCATGACAACCCTATTGTAGAGATTAGTTCCGTTACTGCTCTTCTATGTATTCTAGATCAAATTGAGGCCGATGCCTACTGGGCCTTATATGGACTCAGATACAGGTGTCAAGTAGAGGTGCAGGTGCAGTCTAGATGTCAGACCTATCAAACCTTAAATTTAGGGTATATGGACTAGTAAAATGCTCATATTTTTATATTTTTAATAATCTATTATTTGATATAAAATGGAATTATATGTAACATGTGTCGAAAATGCCTTTTACTCTTTTTATAACAATTATACAATAATATATACATTTAATAGTATCAAATACAAATATATAAAAAATGTCTGATTAATAGTATGAGACACATATCCAACTGTCAAGTGTCGGACACACATATTTGATTTATTTTGAAAAATCTAGGTAAACTATAGCTCTCTCTTCTAGTTTAATGAAGCCTTTATTTAACCCCCCAAGTAATAACATTAATATATCTATAGCACTTTATTCAGGAGCTAGGAGCAAATTTGGTAATGGATGATTGGATGGGACAATTCGGCTCTGTAAGGAGACTTACTTGTACAAGTGACGTATAAATCTTGATCTGGTAATTCTCCTAACCACTACTCCACACAACAATGCCTCTGCTGCCAGTAAAGGGTCCGCGGAACTCTAGAAAGGAAAACAAACCTATCAAAATTGTGGTCTTTCATACAGAGAATGAGATTATCCAGGCCATTTGAAGGGGAACAAATAAAAGATGTTAATTCTGATGGATGGAACAAGACCAAACAAACTTCCAAAATTGGAAAAAGGACATGTAAAAATTATGAGAGAGATGGAACCTGAAGAATCATAACAGAAGCAATAATCCAGATGGACCATGCAACAAATTTGGATACGCCTATGTCAATCAATCCATCCTCTGTCAAGACAAGTTTGCGAACAACACAGAAACCCAACCAAGCTCCTGCTAGGACAAGAAAAACCGACAGAAATATTGCCAGCTGCAGTATACAAGCACTGCATCAGTTAGTACTAGAGTTCTTGGAATATAAATTACTTAATAAGTGCAGAAAATTGTCCATGATACCAGATATGCATAAAGTAGTACACCCTTTTTTTGCGTGAATAAAAAGAAAGGAAAAATTCAGAAAGCTGGATAGAGAAAACAAAATATTTGAAGGAGGTAGGAAATCTAAAGGAATACTAAATATTTAAATAAATACAGAAAATCTCCAAATTCTTTCAAGTTTTTAGGGTAGTGTTGCCCATATGTATAATTATAAATGATGGGTCCTTGTAAAATTCTAGAAATATTCATCCAGAATGTCAAGAAAATCAAGGTTTATATCTTATTTTTGGCATAAATAAAGCTATAGCACAGCAAAATTAATATTCAACAATTTATGACACATATATTTGTAATTTAGTACATGAGAATATCGAAGTCACTTCGACAGCATAAGATGCCATACCTTGCCAATGAAATTTATAAGCAACTAAGGATAGTTCTTTGTATGGTAAATAAATTTGCCCCCACTGTAAGTTTGAAATAATTACAGCAACCGCCAGTGATGTTTCTACATAAGACTGAACTCCCAAGGTTAATATAAATTACCACATCGTCCACACCCCCTCCTCCTTTTAGTCAATGTTTGATTATCAGTACAAAAATTAATGGGTATCTAATTTCTTAATACAATGCAATGCTTTTATCCTTCATTAACTTTTTGACTACAAAATGACAATTATAACATCATTTTAAAACCTTGCTTACTTCGCCTAATCTCCTTTTTTGTTCTCTATGATCCTTCATATCTGGCAATGGCATAATACAAGAGTATCAAAGTTATTTCATAAAATTGTTTTTTTAACCAAAATTAGTGATTAGCAGATTAGGGCATAAGCATCATTGCCTACTTCCATTGGAGGCAAACTAATGGAGGCATTTGATAATTTTAAGATGCATGAAAGAACAGGGCAATTTCTAAAATGCAAGGCGAGATGCCTACAGTTTTCTGAAGTCTCAAGAGAGGTGATTAAAATTCCCATGAATTTAAATAGATGATGGACTGTTAGGGAATATGACTATCCTAGACAGAGATGTTCCTGCAAAGTATACATCACAGGATTAATGGGAAAAATAGTGACTTAGAAATTGCACCATATGGTTTGAAATGTACTCCGAAACATTCCTAATTTCTTAAGCTGTCATCCCTAACTGGACAGCTCTATTGTAAGAGAGCTTATAATTTTTCAAACACGACATTAGTATGATATTTTTCTTTGTCACAACATTAGGGAATGCTCACAGATGTTTGCAATTAACATAAGAGCAGAGCATTAATAAATCTCATTGCAGACATAAAGGGAATTGGAATCCTTTCTGTTATCTCTCCACTTCTTTTTTTTTTTTTTTTTTTTTTTGGTACATCCAAGAACCTCAGATATATAGCTTACAACCTCTGGGGAGGGGGAGGTGTTGTCGGAGTTGAAGCCCCAACTTGATGAGTGGGGGTTGAAGTGCCCATCCACAGGGCTACCCATTGTGCTAGTTATCTCCACATTTAGCACAAAAAATCTTCTTGTAACCAGGTTACGGTATATTAACAAATTATTGCTATTTGCATGAAAAGAAGTAATTTCTTCAATGTGCTTCTTGCTAGAACATAGATAAACAGTCCTAGATTTTCCACATTTGACCAATTAATGGACTCCAGTTGCAATCTCAACCTACTGGCCCCGTTTGGTGTAGCTGTTATAATAGATTATAGATTATAGCTTAACAGATTATAGATTATGACTTTAATCAGAAGCTGTTAATCTGTTTGGTGTAGCTGTTGGATTATAGATTTAAGTTGCTGAGTAGTGTTTGTTAAATAAGCTGTAAAGTAGCTTTTTCAATTAATTTTTATTTTTTATTATTCACTATTTGTTTATATTTCTCATAAAAAATAATAATAATATTCTATAGTCCATTTGGGTCTTTTTCTATTTTTAAAAAAATAGAAAATAAAAAAATTTAAGAGTATAACCGTAAATTAGCATGTCCACAGCAGAAGCTGATAATCAGAAGCAAGGGGTGAGCAGCTTCTCAGAATCAGCTTTTTTGACTTAAAATAAGTTGTTAGAATCAGAAGCTGTTTGAAATAAGTTTAACCAAACAGTCTAAAATAGCTTTTCAAAAGCCAGAAGTCATAAGTTGGCTCAAAAAAGCCCAAACAAACACCACCACTATGAGGCGCCCTTCCTTGGGCTGGCAACAAAATCCCCATGTGGCACTTCCGTGGCACATTTTGCAATTGCCACATGGGTAGCATGTAACAGAAACTCATTCAAGTTGACATTCTAACTTGACTATCAGTGTAGGGGGTTGACTTTTACAACTGCAAAATGAGGGATCAATGTGTGATATGGGTTGCAAGGGCGCAAAGTATATTAAACCCATAAATAAATAAGTAAATCTAAGAAAGCATGTACAAAATCATCACGATCCTTAATGTCATTAGTACAATGTTTGTCTAGGAACAAGTTTCTCCAAAACACAGCCATAACATTCACATTCATCAGGGACAGAAAATCACATCTTAAAAGTTAAAACAGTGCAAAAGTAAACTCCTATTTGTCCCAGTTTAGTGCTTAATGTAATTTCAGAATTATTAAAAAAAAATATTATTTTGGGTAACACTCACCTATGGAAACAGACCTCAACATTCGGTAGACGGGCACTTGAACTTGCAATAGAAACATTCACTTTTACTGAATGTGCAAACTTTCTAAGATTTTTAAGTCTTGACAAACCATGGATTAAAACTCTTTCACGTAGCACAATAGCACCATGCTTGGAACCAGGAGATTTTTCCACTGGCAACCTTGGAGATATCTGCAATGTGGTAGGCTGAGCAACATCTGCAAAACAGAGAAAGCAAGGCTAGAGAATTATTGAACAAGGAAATTTTTTAAACCGACTAGCGAAACTGGGATAACACGCCTACATAACTTATTGAGGAGATAAATCATGCACAAACAGAACTAGAGATCAGTGAACTAGAGATCACCTAGATACTGTTGATTCGCGGAGACAACGGAGGATGAAAGAGAAATTGAACCTACGATGAAAAACAGCCAGAGAACTGAAGTGATTCCCATATTGTTTCTTTTCTGCGAATTCGAGCGAGCGAGTTTGGAGAGGAGAGGAGAGGAGAGGAGAGACAGAGAGTTTTGAAAATACGGCAACCCTAACCCTATGGGCCCGTTTGTTTTGGGAGATAGAATGGAGGGATTGATAGTGAGGAGATTAATAGTGAGGGGATTGTTAGTGAGGGGATTGATAGTGAGGGGATTAATAGTGACGGGATTGATAGTGAGGGGATTAATAATGAGGAATTGTTAAATTATTTTTATATAAAATAATAAAACAAATAAAAAAAATATAAAAAATTAGGAAATTTTTTAAACCGACTAGCGAAACTGGGATAACACGCCTACATAACTTATTGAGGAGATAAATCATGCACAAACAGAACTAGAGATCAGTGAACTAGAGATCACCTAGATACTGTTGATTCGCGGAGACAACGGAGGATGAAAGAGAAATTGAACCTACGATGAAGAACAGCCAGAGAACTGAAGTGATTCCCATATTGTTTCTTTTCTGCGAATTCGAGCGAGCGAGCGAGTTTGGAGAGGAGAGGAGAGGAGAGACACAGAGAGTTTTGAAAATACGGCAACCCTAACCCTATGAGAGTATTTCTGCTATTTTGAATAAAGGACTGGTGCATTTATCGAGCCCACAAAATGATCCAAGCCCAACTCAACAACGAGAAAAAAAAATGGTATGGCCCAACGCATTTGAAAGAAAATTTAACTCACATTAAGGTTTGAGTGGGCAGGTTTTAGGCCTGTTTGTGAAATGGCTGGGCTTAAAATTGGCGTTGAGACCAGCCCAACCAGGCTCGTTTATTTTAGTTTCATTTTTGTTTGAATTCGTTTGGCATGGACTTTTTAGCTAAAAAAAAGCATAAAAGAGATTGGCAAGCTACTTAAAAGTCTAATTTTTTTATTTTTTGACTTTTTTTTTTGTCACATCATCTCTTTACTTTTACACGTTTTTTCAAAAAAAATTAAAAGTTCCCAAAAATAAGCCAATAAGAAAAAAAATCATATCTAAAGGATTGTTTGGGATGTTCTAAGGGGTTTTTTGGTTTTTGAGTTAGGTTAAAAAATCACAAAAGAACAAAAAAAAAATCAAAAAATCAAAAAATCGCAAAAAGCCAAAAATCACAAGATGACAAAAAAAAGTCCACCATTCCAAAGCTAAAAGCCAAAAAAGCCAATCAAGAATACCAAACGAACAAAAAAGTCTTAGGTTAAAAAAGTCAAAAAAGCCAACTAAAAAAGTCATTGCCAAACGAATGCTAAATAAGTGCACGTTTTGACTTTTTATGAAATATGAGTTAAATATGGGTTGAGTTTGAAATGATATGGTAGAGAAGTGATATAACTTAAATAAGATGATGTAACTTAAATAGGATAATGACTTTTTGACTTTTTTAAGGGATGACAAATAATGCCTAAATCATAATCATTTCACTTTTTTTCTTTCACAAAATGTCAAAAAAGCCAAACCAAACAAACTTTTAGTCACAAGTTAAGATAACTAAAAAGCTAACTAAAAAAATCAATTGCCAAACGAGAACCGAGGCCTCGAGTATTGTTGAACCAATGTAGTTAGCTCACCATGATTCTGTTTCGATAATCTGGGTCTCGTTTGGGAATAAGTTATTTTAGTAATTTTTTAATTTTTTATGAAAAAATGTGCAGAAAAATAAAGAAAATGATGTAAGAGCATCTCCAACCCACTAGGTATGTCATGCTTGTTAGTCAAAATGCCTAGTATAACTCATTTTTTTCAACTTCAATGCACTAGGCATATAATTAGGTATTTTAGCTCAACTCGCATTCACTAGCTACATGTAACTAGCCTTCAAGACTAGGCAAAATATATTTAATTATTAGGATCATTTCCCTCAATCTTTGTTGCTGATGTGGCATTTTATAAAATTAATAGTATTTAGATGAATAGCTAAAATAAAGAGCATGGTTGGAGTAGAAACATGAAATAGTTGATAGGCAAAATAAAATATATGCTTTATAGTAATATTTAGATAGATAAAATGCCTATTATCGTTGGAGATGCTCTTAGAAAGCCTAAATCTTTCGTTTTGTTAAAATATATATATATATATATACCAATAGAGACAAAAACAGGAAGTAGGGAAGCAGGAAAAAAAATAGCACTAAAATAACATACAGAAAAATAAAATACAGAAAATAAAATAAAACTTAACTTAATAACTTAAAATAAAACTTACAATTGTTTACTGGAATGATGCAAATGAAGCAAACAGTTCTTCAAAATACATAATTTGAAAATGAATTTGAAAATATAAAATTACAGAGATAGCTATTTTCTTGAGGAATGAGCACTCAGATTTTTCTAACTCTGCCTTATTCTTGACTGAAGAGGGTCTTTTATAGATGAAAAGCGTTACTGTAAGCCTTGTGAAGGAGTTACTGTGAGCCTTGTGAAGGAATCTGACTTTGAAAGAAGCACATGGGAGTTGTCTGCAACTTTCGATGAGTGACTAAAGTTGATGACTGCCTTTGATTGTACTGAATTTGTCGGTTGGATGAATTATGATGAATGATGAATAGTAATGTTGACTTTTTGATGAATAGTGAACAATAAATTTGACTTTTTTCACTATTCATTGCTTTCTGACGGAGGCATATAACTAAGGGAATCAATATAGATATATATATCAGCAGCTTTTCTCAAAAGAAGAGTATTGATTGAAGCTGATAATTATAGCTATAAAGAATCTAATGACTATATCAAGCATATGGGTCCTGAGCATCTTGAAACTGGGGCCCATAAGGATCTTGATTGGTTGAACCTTCAGAAGAGTCTGAACCATTTGAACCTTCTTCTGATCTGGTTTCATCAGATTGTGACTTAGCTTGGGCTATGAGTAGGCGAGCTATTTGGAGAAGCTCATCTTTGGATGACTTGGACTTGACCTTGGGCTTAGCCTAAGATGATGAGGGTTTAGTCTTGACTTTGGACTTTGTTTGATCAGATTTGGGCTTTGCTGACTTAGGCTTTGAAGAACTAGAAGTTGGGCTTCCAAGATTGATTGGAGGAAATTGGCTTCCTTGTGTTAATGAAGCAGTTGGGTTCTGCTGAGCTTTAACCATGGCAGGTGTTGGAGCATGAATATTGACTGGGAATTCTGCTTAAACTTGTTCAATAATTCGTGGAATCTTGAAATTATCCCACCATTTAACAAAGTATTGACAAAAGATTATGTCATCAGAAATAGCATATTGCCATTTAAATATCCATGGGACCTTGTATTTGGATATAAAAATGAGCAATGTAGGGAATTTCTTTTGCTGTGGACCGAACGAAAAAACAGTAGAAACATAGTTGATTTGTTCCATCAAAATAGAGGGGAAGATATCTTCAATAGCCCCATACTAAGTCCACCATCGGAGAAACCAAATGGGGAATTCTGACTTGAATTTATGATCAAATTGGAGGAACCAAGAGTAACTGTTTGACTCATTTTGATACAGGAGAACTTTGAATCAAACGTCAATATAATCATAATAACTATATTGAATTGAGGTAAATTTCGAAGTTGAAAAGGAGAACCCCATTCATTCAAAGAGACTATATTGTGAATATACAATGAATGGTATACAATTTTACTGGTGTAAATCCGATCATAGATAGGTTTAATAACAATGGATTGATGATTGAACAGGATATCTTTGTAGTAGGTGATTGATTTTTCTGGATGAAAATGAGCAAAATACCATCCAGGAGGAAAATAGGATTTAACTAGATCAAGAACTGTATCACTTTGCTTGGTTCCCATTTTTTAAAAATAGTTTTCAGAAAATTCTACACTCTTATTTTTCGTGTTTTTTTGTTTTTACTGAATTTTTTTAATATTTTATGCAAATTTTTTACTTTTTAGACACACCTAACATAAATACACCTAAAAAGTAAAAAAATTGTAAAAAAAATCTTTTAAAAATTCACTAAATACAAAAAAAAATACAAGAATTTAGTATATTTTTTGTATTTTTATGTATTTCTTAATTTTTTAAAATATTTTTTCACAATTTTTTTACTTTTTAGACACATCTAAGTAAGGTGCATCTAAAAAAGTAAAAAAAATGTTTAAAATTTTAAAAATATTCACTAAAAACAAAAAAAACACGAAAATCAAAAAACTCAGTTTTCAAAAAACTTAATCCAGAAAACTCAAACCAAACACAGTGTATGATTTTTTGAGTGACTTGGTTCTTTGAAGAAGAGATTAGTTGTATGAGATTTAACATAATCAGAACGGGCTGATTTAATAAGGTCAGGAGGGTAAGGAGTAACTGACTGAGAGGAGAGGCGAAAGAGTCAGTAGCCAAAGCAAATGTATAACTAGGTTTAGGAATATTACCAAGAACTTGGTAACGATTGACTAATTCAGTAGGATGATATCTGGTGACTAATTCCAAAGGAGGAACTGGAGGACTAGAAGGAACAAGAGCCTTACTAGAAGGTCTCAAAGGTCTCTGAGCAGACATCTGTAAAATAAGTGGACAGGACTGAAATTAGCATCCACTGAGGATTTCCAATTTACTCATATGATAATCAGCACAGTTAATATAATCAGCTAATAGATTATGGCGACTGCAAATGGTATGAAATCGAATAAATTAAGCATGTTTAGTAGATTTTTTGGCTAATTTGAGGTAAGCAGTATGGTGAGCACTTTGGTGAATGAGATTTTGGTAATAGGTAACTTGTGATTTATGGTAAGAAATAAAAGGAGTTGCTACCCCTTGTCCCCCCCTGTAAAAATTCTCTGGCAAGAAAATCAGGAATAAAATTTTGACAACCAGGGATATATTCAATATCAAAATCAAAATCAAAAATACTTAAAATAGATTGCCAACGAGCAAAAATTTGCTTACTAGCAAGATTTTGAACATCTTTTTTCTAAAACATATTTAGCAGATTTGCAATCAACACGAAATAAAAAATTTTGATTTAAAATATCATCTTGAAATTTACTAATACATAAAACAGTAGATAAAATCTCTTGTTTAATAGTACTATAATTTTTTTGTGCTTTATTCCAGACACCCGAATGGAAACAAA